TTAAGTTATCCGTTAAGGTTAAACTAAGTTAGAGTTAAGATTGCGAAAGAAGACATCGATCGTCCACCGTGGGATACTAATTTTCAGACTCAAGAAAGAAAACAGCCGTCGTGGGATTATTATTAAGTGCGTTAACAATAAGTGCGTTAAAAATAAGTGCGTTAAAGATAAGACTTAGATGTAGAACGGGAGGTCGGTGGAATTGAGTTTCCACCCAGCTCCCAGGGTCTCCTCGCAGCAACCTCCACGCGGTGAGACCTGGGCAACTAACGTTATCCGGAGTAGAATATTCTCTGCGAAGGATTACGTTAGGCTAATTGGCTGCGATAATCTTGTAATTTAACCCTTTGCACTCGGAAGTTTCTCACTAGAAATATTTCACATTTGATGAGGCGAAGATGATATTTTTTGAAACTAACTCGAGGGGAAATCACAAGTACATTGAGAAACAAAGATATTTTAGCATTTCTTAAATTGATACATTATACGAGTTATAATATTAAATATCATATTAATCATCAATTTTATAGGTTTACTGTATGAAATGAAGTGGTGAGTGAGTCACCTCCAGAGTGCAAAGGGTTAAATATAAAATATGCAATCATCGGTAGCTAATTATTATTTAGACAATATTTCCTTTTTTTTTATGTATGATGGAGAGTTGTTTAACACTAAGACTAACGATCAGTTGAATTGACTGTTTGAAATTCCTTTATAGAAACTCCAAGATCGCATCTATTGACTTCAATAGATTTATAATTCAATTTTTGTATTAAATCAATGTCTTTAATCATTTTTCAGAGAAATATCGTCTTTTCAATAATTCCGGTGTGTATGATTCACTAATTTTTCGAGCTCGACTTTACAGATCAGTCATTACAAATTTCATGAAAAATAATTCTCGAGATTCCCATGGGACAGCAGCTCCGGTTTTCCAGATAGAAAAAATTAAGATGTATAGCTGAACAATTTCTAATAACAAACAGAAATTGACTGTATCTAGAATATACGTTACCGACAGATTGGCTACACTTGATTATGGGAACATCCCCTAGAGCTGTGTACAGCGACATCATGCATAATTGGATCAAGTGTAATTATAGACTGACAAGTTGACCATCTAGAATACAGTTCTAGTTTCTAGTTTGTATGGTGCACTGGTGATCACGTGCAACAAGATGTTCATCTTCCGTTATGATTCCCAACACTGGTCGTATTTACATTATTTCTGGAAAAATTGAAATATCAATTAAGAGCATCGGACCAAACAACTGATGATACGTAATATCCGTTCAAGAGTATTCATCGAATGATTTGACATGATCGAACGGAGCATTTGATTGGAATTTATGTAATATTCCTCTAGTTTTCCTGGTACACGTAAACACGTAAATAACTACAAGATTTTGAAATGGGTGAGGGTGGCGTTCAACGGGCATTGATAATACAAAACGAAAGAGCGGATACAACAAAAAAACGAAGAAAATTCTAGCAATTCGATATCTTCATGTTTACATCTTTCTAACCCAAGTGGTTCGTTACTCGTAGCCTTCGATATTCAGTAAGAAACAAATTGTATTTTGATTTACGACCGTTCGTTGCAATAATTTGAATTCTATCGTTGTATTCTTTATCCTCTATGCACTCATGTATGTATTAAAACGTTTAAACAGTATTTCATGGTAAATGATGATCATATTGTCGTATTACAGGAGATTCGATTAAACTCTTTACAGACAGAAATCATTTAATAAACGACAAAGCAGGAAAATTATGATAAAACATTAATTTCGATCGGAATAATTGGAAAGGAGATTTTAAATGATAATGAATATTTACAACGGAAGAAAGAACGTTTTCGTTAAAGAGACCAAGTTCAAGTAAACAGACTGTACACGAAGCCTGATGCATACAACTTTTTTGTATGCTGATTAAAATTTAATAGAATGCCAACAATAGCCAGTTCTTCTTTAACGTACGAAATTCTTATGTACCTAAATTCCTTTTACTTTGGTATGTTTGCTGTTTGCGAATTAGGCATGGGATTCTTCAAGGCTGCAAATTTACCTTCACCTGGTATAAGCACAACATTGACAGAGTTTGCACTTTTGTTCTTCCTCATAGCCACGGAAGGGGCTAGAATTTATCTTGGAAGGAAGGGAAACTTAACTGAGCATGGATTACCAATTCTGATTGGAGTTGTTTTAACTGTACCCAGCTCTTTAGCAACATTGTACTTTTTGATCTGGCAGAACTATGTGCTCAGGCTAGAAGTAATTCTTTGCAGTATTCAATTAGTCCTATTGGCGTCTGAATTAATAATCTCGATCTTGTGCCTTATAGCTATTTATCGGCCACCATCTCCTGAAGAGTAAGCACCTCCTTGATTGTCTTCTATCATCTTTATAAATGCAACATAAAGTTCAAATATTACAAAATTTTAATGTATACAATATACAAAAGGGAAAGAAATGAAAATAATGAAACTCTATCTATATTCAATTTTTATACCTTTGATACTATGTAACAGTACATACATATGCGTATATATACACACACACACACACACACACATTTATACACTCACACACGGATTTTTATAGACATTTGCAATATCTATTTTTAAAATAAATTTCCTTTTTATTAACATTTTTTTTATAAAAATTATCCAATTACATAGAATAGTTACACGAAATAATTATATGAAAATAAATATAATCTTAATGAATGATTCGTGTCTCTTATATAAAAAGTTTCAATGTATGCTCTAAATTTTTACTTAGGGGTATATAATAAAATAATAAACGTTCAAAATTCAACTTATCGTGATCGATATGTTATACTCATTAAGTGGACAAACTCAAGGAAAGTAATATACAGAAATGATAGAAATTATACCTATACTTGTTTTTAAAATTAATCTTTTATATTATTGCTCGCCGCTCTGCGTCGTCTAATTGCTCGTAGTCTATTATTACAATATGTTCGTAGAAATACAGAACCAAATACTAACAGTATACCAGTTATTCCAATAACTGTTACACGATGGTGATACATTAAACAGGATAATAATATAGCTAGACCCTGAAACAGAATTAAAATTTCATTTATATCTCGTACACGTTACTAACATTAAAATACTAAGCATAATTACAACATAATTAAATAAAGATTATTACCTGTCGAATAGTCATTATAATGACAAATGTCACTGGTCCAAATTTGGAAATTGTATAAAAAATATACAATTGACCAGTTGCAGAACAGATCGACATAAGTAAACAATCGATAATAAATCTACGATACTATAAAGAAATAATAATATTATAATTATCAAGAAGATTTATTCCATTAAATTTAATTTGTTACCTTTGTCATGAACGAAAATACGAGAGGAAAACTCGATTGTTGAAATAAGGACATTGCGGTAAATAAACAGGAAAACATATTAACTACACACATCATTTGTACACTTGTTGCGCCATATTCCATAAATAACGCATTTTGCCAGGTACTTGTAAAGCTATCTAATATTAAGTAGCCTCCTAAGAGAATAACACCAGAAACAGTGGTAGCTCCATCTGAAAATGTTAATATTATAGTACTGATAAGATTAAAAACATAAAAAATATATATTATCTATTAATGTCAGACATATTACTGTTTTTATAATCAGAGCTATCTAACATAAAGAATGTCATTCCAATTGAAATAAGTATTGCTGTGACATATTCGTAATACTCATATGTGGTATGCGAGATTATTTTCCCCATTATCATAACTGGTATGATTTTAGAAGCTTTTGCCAATACCTGAAATATGTAAGTATTTATATAATTTATCATTATGAATGTTTCAAAAGTAGATAAGAAGACAATAAGTACCTGTGTTGGAAAGCTAACATATTTTAATGCTTCATACTGACACCAACTGCTCATGATATTTGACAGGGAACAGAATGCATACTTATAAAGTGGAGCTTTATGTTGCGGTTGTCTTTGAACTAGTAAATATAAACCTGACATCAAAAATGCCAGAATCCGATTAACAAATACTAGAAACTGAGAATCTTGAAAATAGTCCTTATTCCCGCTAACATCTTCATATTCCTGAGAAACAAATGTTTTTATATCATAAAAACCTTCCAATTATAAAACCATTATTGGACCATATTATGTGTCAACAGTTGTAACTGTATTATGTAATTTATTCTGCAGCTTGTGCTTTGTAATAAGCTTCGATGTAACAGTATCAAACTTAATTTCAATAAAATATTACTTCAACATTTGTTTGAAGTATTGTGGGTATTATTATTAGTACCCATACCGTGGCTGATGTAATGAAGGGGTACTAAACACCATCTTCAGAACTTTGTTTCACAGAAAGCCTGGATCTCCTAGAAGTAGTAACTAGATGATTCGCATTGTGATTCTGAAATCTAAGTTAATGGAGAGACTTCGTATACAAATATTTAACCGAAGCAAAATATACTTGGAAAACGATCATTGAATGAAATTCATTTGATTTTTTAGAGACAGCCTTATAAATGTGCAGAATAAAGTTTTTTTCAAGGACATTTCATTCTAGGGCACATGTTGTGTTTTTGTAAGTTGATACTCAGGATACATCTAATAATTTTACATGTGTCTAACATTATATACTTGCATCCATTGAACCATACCTGTGTCATTATCTTCTCTTGTAAATAACCCCATGTTAAATAACTGACTTGTAAACCAACAAAACAATATAGAAGTAATAAGGCTTCTTGCATAAAAGTACGTTGAGTGATATTAGATGGTGTAGATGTATAAGAAGAATCCAAGAGCCCTGTTTCGCAGTGACCCATAAAACATGAATGTATCAACCTTGGAATACATCCTTTACCTGTTCCATAGATAAACACAATTTTATATAAAAATTTAATTGAAAACTGATAGTGGTTCCTTTTTATTTACCTCCTCTTTGTATATATTTGGTGTGACGTACGTATTTATAAATGAGGCAACCCGGTAACAGTACAGTCGCATAACTTAATAAATTTAAGCATAAGCGTACAATCCAATTGTAAGAAGAAGATTCTAAGAATTTTTCTCCTGTATTTACCAGATACTGAATTAGTTCACTAACTCCAAATACAAGGCTCACTGAAAGTAGTAGCAATATGCTGCAAAAAAATTGTCTTAATGCATTTCAAAGTAATCGGAACTTAATTCATATATAGTATAATATTTGAGTAGGTATACTTTTTGAAGGAAAACAAAAATGTGTACTTTTATTAATGACTTACCAAATTATGAGGTCGCTCATAAAATTTCGCATTTTTATTAGAATGTAACTTACAATATAAAACGAATGATTCCAAGTTATTAAATTGTTTTACAACCTTAATTTGTCCACGTTAAATGTTTTCCGATTGCACTCCCAAGTGTAAAAATGTAAAATTTCTCTATCAATAAGTTTAAAGTAATTTTGCATTACGTATTGTGTATACATATAATACATAATATTTTTAAATCATAATTTTATAAGGTGGTAAAAATTTATTCTGTACAAAGTATGTAATTCATTAACTATCATCAGTGAAAACTACAACGTACTACGTTCTGATTGATAATTTATAACTATCCAAAAATGATTCGTTAAATCATTTTTTAAAAGAAATTGTGTCCCTGTACTGTCAAACGTCAAATCCATATCTACATATTAATGAAGACGACATGTGAAGCTTTAGTATCGATTGTTGTCCTTCAACGCTCGCTTATATTTTTCCTTGATTTTCAATTGATCTATAAAATGTACAAAATGAAACTTATTAGTTTTTTTATGATTTTAATAATAATTTTGCCCTATTATTTGCAAATATAAGAAAAATAAAAGATATATATAATATTAAATGTGATTTTTCATTCGTTAGTTTTAGTAGTTCTTATGATTCGTACATATTGCAGTGCATTTTTCAGCTTTACTTCAATTTCAAATTTAGATATTACATTAAATAACTAAAAAAGATTGGTGTTATAGTTCATGCGTTGGTAACAATACATTATTACTGATTGTCAACAAACAAAGAGATCTGTGTTCCGAATACTCTATGACTATTACCTCGTGTAGAGTAATAGAAACGCGAAGAAAGAAGTTTAAATTTATTTAACTTTCCATAATTTGTAAATTGCATGACAATAACAGTTCAACAGCCATGATTTCCATTGGTAAGTTGTAATTTATTAAATAACAAATCATTACTATCGAAGATAATTAAAATGCACATAATATCCTGGATATCGGAAATATTCTGTAACAATGGGTAACATATCTAGATATACTAGTAGAATAACTCTGTTTTGCTATAATTATGTATTTCTGGTATAGCATGTGGATAATTATAATTTTATAATATATATGCGTCATTAAAAAACTGAAAGGTAATAAACCTCTCATTGGTTGGATTTTTGTTATGGATGAGAACGAATCTATTTACAATA